GTGGGCTATTTTTTTTCCTCGGTTAAAGAGCAGAACTTCATCCATGCACTAAATTTGTTACACAAGGCTTCTTGCCTAAGCAGCTCTTGCATTCATCCTGGACTATGTATGCCCTGTAACACAGCATGCAGCCTGTGAACCATGTCTGGTTTCAGCCAACAGCACTAAATATAACTAATACACAATTCCACAATTTGGGCTTGCACCAAAGCAGGACCTGAACAATGTTTAAATGCCTTTTGACAGCCGGTATGTTGCACATTTTTTTTATGTACAATTTTACACATGGAAGGTTGTACCACATCCTAGGAAGTCAATAGCTTTCCTAAACTATAATGAACCCTCCCCACCTGCCCTTTCTGTAAACACAGACAGGCTGTGCAGAGAGCTGCCAGTCTTTAGGCACTCCAGTTTTGGTATCTATGGAACAACCTGCCCAAATCCCAGCACTTAAACTATCAACCAACAGCTTCTTCCCAAACACATAAATTCAAGGAAGGATTTTTACACACAAGTCAAGCAAGTAAATAACGACATGCCTATGTCTTCTTAGACATGGATAAGATTGGCAATAGCAAGGCAAATACTTCAGCTTCGTCCCTGGTGGCATTCAGAGCACACAGCCCTTGCCTATGCTGTAAATTGATCCCATGTCCAGCACACTGATGCCTGCTGGATTTCCAGCAGTCCAGTGGAAACCTCACAAATAAGCTAGGAAATTTGGTATTTGGCCAGTGGTTCTTACTTTTTCTTGGAACCAAAAGTTGGTACTGACCTTAATTTCACAACAGCATGACACAACCCCTCCTGCATAGCTGAAAGTGTTCTAACCTTTTGAAAGTGTTTAAAGATGCTTGTCACACTTGGCTTTAATTGATTTTTGGAGAGCTGATCAAGCCTGGCTGCTTTCCCACATCTTACACTGTGGTGAAAGAGGCCTCTTGGAGTGGACTTGTTCCCACACTGGAGGATCTTAGTGCTAAATTTCCATCACACTCCCTGTTTGCAGCCACATCCCTGTTTGGCAGTGTCACGTGGACTTTGTTGGGACAGCTTCAGTGTCTCATTGCAGTCTGACCAAGCTTCAGCTTGTGGTCAGACTCTTGAAGGGTTTTCCAGGAAGCTCTAAGATAGGGAACCTGCCAAGCAATGATACAAGAACAAATTGATTGTTTCACGAGGGAGATTTTTCCCCTCACCAAACCCCTGACTTAGTGTTTAAGGAAAATCCTGAGCCATCAAGCAAAGGTGAATCATTATCTCATAGCATGAGGGGAAAGTTAAGTATAAGGTAATTTTATTTTCAGTCCTTCTCAGGCCTGAGAAGGCTGTCAGAAAAAAAAAGACAATATAATTTATTCTGTTTATGAGCTAAAATGTCAAATAGTGCACCAGCCTCTCATCTCTCAATTTATTGGCAAGGTTGTGGTTTACTTGTTTAAAGGCAGATTAAGAAACTGTGGGCCCTGCCAGCTGCCCTGCAGCCAAATGTCTCTGAATTGCCTTATCAGTGACCCATCCCAGAATGGGAATGTTCTGACTTCATACTTGTTTAAATGAGAAAAACATTTCCTTTGCTCTGATAACTGAGGAAGGAGAAATAATTAGTCTGAATTTCAAATGCTGCACAAGGGCAATGAATTTCTCTCAGGGGTATCTGTGTTTGTGCTGGAATTACAACACAGAGAGCTGGAGTGACTGCCTGGGGAACAAAATTATTCTTAATCACAGAATTAGGAGAGAAGGGAAAGGGAAAGGTATCAGTAAAAAATTTCTCAGTTCTTCCCTTGTCTTTATGCAGGGCCACTATCCCAATGCTATTCCCAAGTGATGTCTAATTTATACCTGCAGGCTTAAATATTCCCCTGTCTTCTGCAGGAAATCCATCCCAGTGCCATCCTCAATATTATGAGGTTTTCCAGGGGCTTTGGTTGTGCTTCCTGGATGACATTTAAATGTGGTTATTTCTGCTGCTGTTGGTGTCTCTGATGGTTCCTGGTACTGCAGTGGCCAAACCAGACCCAGCACTGCAGCTCAGGCCTTGTGCTGAAGTCAGCCTAAGCTCTTGCTCTTATTTTTTGTATGTCCCAGTATAATTGTATTTTTGGGGGGAATGACAGAATATTATAAACCAATTTCAGCTTGTGACTCCCTAACTTCACCACACAAGTGCCACTTAATGGGCCATTCCCCATTCCAAATATGAGCTGTTGATCAATCCTTGATGAAGTGTAGCACCTTGTTCTCGTTTTTAAAAAAGTTCATTTGATTTTTAGACCCTTTTTACTAGCTTGTCTGCCTGGTTTAGAATTCTAGTCCTCTCCCCCAGCCTTGCTTATAACCTCCAGGCTGATGTTACATCTGTAATAACCACTTTGCTTATTAATTATCCAGTTGTTTAATGAAATGCTGAGTAACCCCTGAACTGAGCCCTTGCAGTCCTGATGTGGTACATCTTCCCATGGGGACAGTGACCCACTGCTAACTCCCAGCAGTGATCCAGCCAGTTTTGCTGGCCTCAGAGGTTTTCTTTAGTTTGCTTCTGACAATACTGTGTGAAACAGCCCTGAAATTGTTTAAATTTGGCTTTCCTTATCTGCAAGGCCTGTTACCCATCACAAAAGGATACCAAACTAGTTTGACTTGATTCTTGACAAATAGCTCTTATTTGCAATTCCAGTTCTTGTTTTTCAAATACTTACAAAATGTTGGTGGGATTATTGCTTCAGAAACATTCTTAAGGGTGGATAGTAAATTGGCTTGTGTGTAGTTTTCCAGTTCTCTTCCTCATTTTAAACAAAGCCACTGCACTTATCCTTTTCCAAGTCTGGTATAAGTCACATCTTCCCTGAGCTCTCAGCAGTAATTACCAATGGTGGTTGTTGTAGGTTCTTCTTTCAATCTCCTGTGGTAGGTCTAGTGATAGCCCTGAGTAAAGAGAGCTCCAGGCAGATCAAAACACAGAAAAGTGACTATCACAAACCAACAAGCATCAGTAAACAAAGTAAATTTCTGCTAAATGTTTTTCCCTAAAACATTTTCACTGGTATTAGTTCTGTGATGCTAGCTAGCTTGCCTTATGTCCGTTGGTAGATAGAAGGGATGCTTAGCTCTGTACCACTTTTCAAGGCATTAACTCGATTAACTTTCCTCTTCTGCTGAACAGAGAAGAAACTCTTCCTTTGGGTTTTGTCTTCCTTATTTTACTCTCCTTGTACCCCTTTAGGTGGTGGATACAGAATGCCCTACTGCAGATATCACAGTAGTTATAATTTTAGAAAAGACTACATTGATAGCTTGAAAAAAATATTAGAACAAACATTGCTTTCTACCTCATCAAAGGTTATTGCACCTGTAGGTAATTCCTTCCTGTCCCTTTCTTGAAACTCATGTATGAAAAGTAGGTTATAGCTATGGGACCATAATTAGGGTACTGGCAAGAAACTCATATACCAGGGTGAATGCAAGTGTGAGGGTTTGGATTTTGTGCCAGAATTTCCATTTGATGTTATTTGAAACTGAAGATCGTGGCTAGACAGTGTGACCAGCTCTAGATGAGTGCACAGTCAAGCTCTATAATGTTTGTTTATGCCCTGGCTCTTGTGGAGCTGCTCCTTTAACAGGCCTGGGAGGCCTGGGATGAGACAAACAATGTAAAACTGGTCCATCTCACACAGCTTCACTCCAGGCATCCAGCAGCAGAGCTTGGATTAGGAGTCAGCTTCTCATAAAGCCAGTGGAGACATTTTGGTGCATATGTGTGCCCGGACTGACCTGATGAAGATCCCAGTGGCTGAGACCTTTTTCTGGACCTTCCACACAAAGGAATTTGAGTTTCAGTTGCACTGTGGGTTAAAAATTGCCAGTGTGTCATTCTTGTGGGAATTACTTCCATAACTCTGGGCTGCCCCCTTGCAAGAGAGCATGTCCACTTTGCCAGAAAGTCCTTAGAGAGGGTTTTTAAACTAACCTGATCCAAAAGGACAAGCATTGAAGGCAGGGCTGTAAGAGGTGATTCTGAAGAAGTCACAGGAACAAGTGAAATAGAAGGAGAGGGCAGTGCTGGTGAGTCTCTAGGGCTGAAGAAAGCCAAGAATAAACTATATCTGTGTCTGAGAGACTGATCCTTCCACTTGGCAGGGTGGCCATTCTGTAAAAGCCAGGAAGGCTGGAGCCTCTCCTTGGTGAGAGGAGATGGAGAGTCCTTCTGTGAGAGCAACAAAGCCATGAATTGAACAGTTACGTTGCAAAATGAGCCTTTAATCATGCTCTGGGGCAAGCAGGTAGGTGTTAGAGAACCTCTTTCTCTTTTCCAAAAGGTATCACCTCCCCTGTCTGAATACTTGGTGCTTACACAGAATACTTGTCCAGGAAGCTTCCTGCTTTAATTTTGTCAGGACACAATAAATAAAGAAAGAAAGAAATAAACAAAGATCCCAGATCAAAAGTTGAGCTTGAAGACAGCATCCTTAAACTTTTGCAGTGTGTAGGTTTTGGCTGGGCTCTTATCATGGTTACCCTAATGTGATGCTGTGCAGGATCTGTTTTTGTGGTTGGTCCATGTGCCAGGGGTTCTGTTGTCCCCAAGGCCTCATTTTCATTGTAGTTAAAGAAAGACCATAATGTATTCTTCCTCAAAATACAGGGTACCATCAGCAGGCCCTGCAAGTTCATTTGCCCAAGCAAACTTCTGAGTTTTTCTCTCATTTGATGCCTCACAGAATGAAATCTCACTTTAAGTGAGTTACAGCTAAAGCAAGGGATGAGAGCTGTGTATTTCAGCACAGTCCCTTCAGGCATAACAGCAGCAAACAGAAAAATTGCCCAAAACTCTCTTACGTGGGTGGCAGCAGCCAGTGTCTGCCAAGGAGAGGGCATGTCTTTTGGGAGCAGAGGAGGAGCGCAGCAGTGACCATCCATCACACCGTGGTCCCTTTAAATCTTCTTCTCCACTTGGCAGCTCCAATTTTTCAACGTTGCTATAGCAAATCTCCATGGCAATGACCCCAATCAGGGAAGGGGGGATGCTGGAGGGGCGCATGCTCGCAGGGGCTGCTGGAGCCCTCCCTGCTCCCTACAGCTGCTCCAAGGGTCTGGCACAGAGCGAGGACAAGGATCAGGTAGGGGTGAGTCGGTTCTTGGGGCGCATCCAGGCCCACGGCGTGTCCGGCAGCGGTGCGTGCGAGTGGGCTGTGTGTGCACGGGGCCTGGGCTTATCACATCCCCTCCACTTCTTTGTGAGGAGCGTGCAGGGAGCAAACTGCTGATTTTTCACTGCTTCTCCTCGTTGCAGGCAGGGAAGACAGCTGGAATTGTTGACGAGAGCAATGGCGCTGCCATCCTGGAGCGAGGCGCGCGTGGCGATGCTGCTCCTGTCGGCGCTCAGCCTGCTCAGCGCGAGGCTCGTGGGCGCTGGCCAGGACCCCGGGAGTGCCATCCCTGCAGAAAGTAGGTACCTGCTGCTCCCTGTCCTGCCTGCCCTCCTCTGCTGTCCCCAGCAGCCACATGGGCACTCTGCTCTGGGGGAGCCTGGATTAACGATGGGTTTGTGCCATGTCAGCAAAGCACGTGAGAACAACGCCACAGGAACAGCGTGCAAGCAAAGCATTAGTAGTTATTTAGGGAAAAAATGCTAACTGCGTACTCCTAATTTTCATTTGAACTCGTGCTCATGCTCTTTGTTTGTAGGTCTTTTAGATCTGCTTCTTGAGAGTTTCATTTCAATAGATAATTTTAATTGACAAACACGGATTTGCCACAATACCTATGATGTCCTTACTAGTCTGAGTATTGTTAGGAGAAAATGTCTGTGTATTTCTGCTGGGGCATTGCATCTTGCTTATTTTAGTATTTGGTTGGAACAATAGGTCAAGTTCAGCTTTCTGGTAGCTGCTACAAATCAACACAGGGATTGTTTACTCAAACAGTACATTTGTAAAGCAAACATAAATTTCTGAAATCCTGCAAACCGAAAAATAAAAAAAATATGACAGACTGGATTGAGTACACCACAGAGCTGGGAGCTCTTGAATTTGGATCACAGCTCCATATGAGCTTCCTCTGTCATTTTGAGTAAGTCTCTAAACTTTCTCAGCTCCAAAATGAGACAATAGTTCAAAGTTATTAGAGGATGGAGTCAATGTTCTCAGGGTGTTTTGGTGACAGCAAGTGGGAAATAGCCACTCATTAGAAACATAAAATATCCTCAGGGAAAAAAAAAAAAAAACAACTAAGAAAGATAATTGCATAAAAACAAATCTCTAGTTCTTAGTCATGCTTACTTTGTATCACAGCTATCTTTTTATATGACTATCAAAATATTTAATATGAGGTCTTATTTTGTCACTGCATTTTATTCTCAATTAATTCCATTAGATGGAACTAATGGAACTTAGATGTTGAATTTCCTTCTTCTTCTATTCTTTTTTTTTTATTATTAGGGCTAAGTTTTGGTCAGTTCTAAACCAGATTTCACTGCTATTTTGTGTGTCTGTTTCCTAGGAATTCATTAATTCTAACAGGTTTTGCGATGAGTAGTCCATTTTAGCTCCTCAAAGAGAAAATCAGGCTTGGAAAATAAATTGTACGTGTCAGCACAGGCAAGTCGACACATTTGGGAAAATGAATACAGGGGTTTCTTGTTCTACTTGTGTAGTGAAAACTCCCATTTGAGCTGTAGAACAAAACTCTTGGCCAGGATTTCTGACCCAAGTCTCACAGAATTATAAAAACATAGAAGGATGGGAAGGGCCCTTTAGAGCTCATCTAGTCCAACCCCCTGCCATGGGCAGGGACATCTTCAACTTGATCAGGTTGCTCAGAGTTAAGTTCAGCAGCATCATGAGCAGGACAGCGGCAGCAATGCTCTGTACCGTGTGGGAGGTGCAGAAGTCACAGGAGAGGAGCATGAGAGTGAGTCACAGATCTCTTTAGCAGTGCAGAGAGATCCTGTCCTGTGTGAGGCACTGAGATCTGGCTCAGACACCATCCCCTGCTCCCTGCCAGTCACACAGCCAGGCACAGCTCTTCATGCATCATTCTAATTAGCAGTGATTAATTGTGTCCTTATACTTTATTCACAGCACTTAGCATATGCAAAAGACTGTTCAAGTTTGAAGTGGTGCTACTAATACTCACAGAGTATTTTCTTTAAATTCTCTACAAACCACTAGGGAAAAAAAAAAAAAAAAAGTTATTTCCCCAACCTCCCATTGCATTTATAGCCCAGATCACTGTGAAAGCTAAAATATAGGATGTGAAGACCAGAAGCTGGTCAGTCTGTTTTCACTAGGCAAGGTGCATGAAATACAAAGAATAAACACCAAGTGTATGCAAGGGAAAGTAAATTAGACTTACACAGTGCTTTCAGTCCCAGTTCTTCACCAAGATGAAGCCAGGAAACATATTTTTTCTCTTCCCCCACTTCTCCCAAAACACAAAGACATATACAGTCTTTGTGCTGGCAGGACCCATTTAAAGAGTTATAGCTGACTCTTGGTAATTCTCATTATGTTAATCCACAGACCTGTTAATTCTGCCTATGAATGATAGTCTGTTTCCAGCTGTCAGCAAAGAATTAATAGCACTCTGCTATACTTTGCTGTTATGTGACTTAAGATTTGGTTTCATGACTGCTTTAAGCTGATGTAAGCCTGTGCTGTCTCTTTCCCTTCTCCTCTCCATAAGCTGGTCTCCTCTTCTTGCACTGTTTCTTGTCCTGGCCCCAGAATTTGGGCATTCAGAATCTGCTCTGGGGGAAAAGTCAGTGATCCAGATGATGGAGAAGCTGCATTGTCACTCCTGCTGTGAGCAAGTGGAAGTGTGAGATGCCATAGCCAAGGACAGAAACCACAGTGGGATTGCTCCTATTGGCAATAACACATATTTAGATTTTTTGGCAAAACAGATGCTTAGACATATTTCTGTTGGGGAAATGTCCATGGGCACCTTTGCTGAAAATATTGTGGGCATGAAGAGAGATCAAATCCATCTAGATAAGTTAGCTTAGCAACTCAGCTCTTCATTCTGGAAAGCAGACCGAAGCAGAGAGTGATGGAGAACATCAAAGTCATAAGTGGGACAAAGTTGGTGATTATTTAATAACTGTCTCTTCCACTGCAAAAATTAGAGGCAGGAAATGAAATCAGCAATGTCAACTTCAGAGCAGACAGGAATGGTATTTTGTTCACTCAGTGAATAGCTGAGCTGTGGAACTCATTGCCACAGGATGTTGCAGATGACAAAAGTTTTCATGGATTCAGGAAGCAAAAGTGCAAATTAATGTGAGAAAAATTCATGGAGGGCTTATCAGATGTAGAAACCCCAGCCAGACACAGGATATCCTCCAGCCCCCTGGCAGGCTAGAAGAACATTGCTAGACACTTACTCTTGTATCTTCCTCAAGTGTCTCCCGTTGGCTACAGGCTCCCAGCAGGCAGGGATGCTGACCTGACCCACAGACCCAGAGAAGGATCCTCCACCACAGAGCACAGCCCAAGAAATGACATTAAAGGTTGAATAGGCTGTTACGTGGTGAAACTGGCTGCATGTGCACTCTGACTTTGGAGGGCAGTGCTGTGTTAGGAGCTTTGCAGGTGCTGATTCAGGACACCCAGAGCTGCACAGGCAGCTGTCCTCTGTGCCACCACCCTTCTGCTGCAGAAGATGCTTTAATACCAGGGCAGCTGCTCTCCCAGGACTGGCAGAAGTGAAATAACCACTTGGCATGGTCGTGCCACTCCACTAGGACCTCCCTGTCCACACAGGAGCACTTGGCTGTCATAAATACCAGTGAATGATCCTACCCAACCAATCCACCACAGCTTTCACAAAGCCCTGGGAAGACTTCCTGCACGGCAATCAGTGACAGATTATGCATGGCTCTCCTCAAAAGTGCTTTCTCCCCACTGCAGAAGCAGGAGACATTATCACCTAATTTTTTTTTTTTTTTTTTCTCCTTCAGGTTGTGATTTTGAGAGCATTTTGGTGCTTGTCAGCACTTCAGGGCATGCAGCACCTCCCCGAGGTGGAGCCAGGGCAAACCAGAGCGAGGGGAGGGAGCAGAGCATGACACCGAGCGAATGATGAATTTGCTGACAGCAGTCTGAGCATGCAGGTTCTTTCTAAGGGCTCTGTTTCATGCTCTGAAGTGGAAACAATTAAATTACTGCAATACTGAAAGCAGGAGGAGGTTGAGGATCTTTAAGAGTGCTCAAAACCATCCTGCCACTACTCCTGTGCCTGGAGAGGCAGAGTCTTTGTGAGCAATGCTGTTCTGATGGAGGTTGGGACTTTGCATCTCCTCACAGCCTGGGAATTAAATCCCTCGCTTGATCCCCAGGTCTCCCTGAGATGTCACTTGCATGGAGGGGAGATGGAGAAGGACAGGTGGGAGAAAAACTCCTCCTGAATAGATAAAACCCCTCAGAGGCTTGCTGAGGGCTGACAAGCACTCTGGCTGCTCCCTCCTCCAGGTACAGCTCCGAAGGCAGTGCTGGCAGCAGAGTGCCAGGCACAGATGGGTGCTGCAGGGCTGCTCAGCAGGTCCCTGGCTCCAGGCAGCTCCTCGGCCATCTCAGCAGCAGCTCTGCACCTCTTTGCTTTGCTAGAGCAGCACAGGTTGTTGCATGAGGACAAGGATTTCAGCACTCCCCCCACCATGGGAGCTCTGTGATCAGTAAGAAATGTCATCTTTCCCCATTCTCCCGGCATCTCCTCCAGGGTCTGCAATTTCTTCTTCTGAAAACTCACACATCATTAACTTCAAACTGTCAGAGACTGGTGCAGGGTGAATCCTGGCAGAGCAGAAATGCCCAGGTTCAGAAGTGAGCCATTTTAGTTGTCAATTCCCCTCCTCCTCCACTCTCTGGCTTTTCCCTGCCCTGCCTCTCCGTGCACACACACTGGCAGCAGCTGCAGAGCCGGTGGGATGCTTTGCATTCCTGGCAGAGAAAAAATACAGCAGCAGGTGAAAGGAAGCAAACACAGATCTGGCATTGTCCCTTGCCAAGCTGCTCTGTAAGAGCTCCTGTGAAAACAGACCTGCCTGTCTGGATGCTGAGCCATTGCAGACTTCTATTTCCAGTGTATCTGTTGAGAATTAACCCATGTCTGAGGAGGGGTAAGGATTTCAGTGGGAAGGGGAGAGGCTGGGGGCTGAAGCAGCAGGCAGAGTCAAGCGTGGGCCACGTTCAGAGAAGCAAAGTGCTCCTGGTGGTTTTGGCTGATCCTCTGGCATTTGTGCAGAGACAGATACGGGCAGCACTAGCTGTGCACACATGCAGCTGTGGGTGCCTGGTAGGAGCTGGAGTGTGTCCTGGCAAGCTGCACACTGCTCCCGTGTGCTGCCGAACGCTAAATGTGCCGCTGTGACAGCGCTGTCTCCCTGGCTGTCCCCTCAGGCCGGCCCTGCGTTGACTGCCACGCGTTCGAGTTCATGCAGAGGGCCTTGCAGGACCTGAAGAGGACGGCGCGCGGCCTGGACACGCGGGTACGTGTTCTGTGGGAATGCTCTCCCTTCCCTCCATCTCCCGGCTCGCCTGCCTGCCTGCAGCAGGCCTGACATCCCCGCTGACTCACTCCCATCCCGGCAAACAGGTTTATACCGAGCACTGATTATTTTTTTTCACAGTCTGCAGAGGTTCAGCAATGATCACCTAGCCTGACTTCTTGCATAACAGCCCAAGGAATCACCTCAGACAGTCTCTGCGCCAAAGGGAGAAGGAAAGAAAATGTACATAGGAGAGGCAGACAAGACAGATAATTTGTTCTCTGCCTCACACCACTGCTCCCAAGCTGTGGGCTGACCATTCGCTGAGCAGGAGAGAGGGAAGGTGGCAGGCAGGGCTGGCAGAGGAAAGGGGAGCACGCACACACCCCCTGCTCATGGACTGATGCTGTGCAGAAAAGGGAGAAGCACATTTTTTCATGTGTTTGTCACAGCACACAGGGGATTGTGCCACTTCACAGTCTCCAGAGGTCTCAGTGAGCAAAATGAAGGTGTGTTAAATGCCCCCATTTTGGTAATTCATACAAGTGTGGGTTTGTAAATATGTGCAAACTGGCTGGGGTAGGATTTACCACAGTGGTTCTGCTGCTGAAGTTTGCAGGAGGCTGGAGGACTCTCTCCTCTAATAAAGCCCCTCCATGCATGTCTTGTCCTGCCTCTCCTTCCTTTGAGCAGGACCATCCCTCTTGGCAGGTGAGAGGGCTCCTTGCTCCTCTACAGTCACACTCAGCTCAAATTGTCATTCCCAGCAAAGCCAACCAAAGGGACATAAATCAATGATGTGTCTCAAACCATAAGGCAATTATATAGCTTTGCCTTTGTTTTCTTGTGACCTTGGGCAGCCGTGTCAGGCCCTACACAATAAACTTGGAGTGACTTCAGCTTTCTTGAGCTATCAATAGTAACCTGATTAGGACAAAGTTCTGAGTGTGGGTTGCATTCCAAAAGTTTCCCATGCACTTGAGTAATAATAAATAACTCTTAAGTGGTAAAGTGTCAGTAGAGGGGCTTTACCTCCAGCAGCTGTGCTGGGCACTTCTTGTGCATAGCAGAGTTCCACTTGTTTGGATTAGGGTCAGCTGAAATGTTTTGTACTTACACATGACATGTCAAGACCAGGTGCAATTGCAGCTGTGCTGGTTCTTATACTGCCAACAAGATAGTTAACTGCCCAACTGGGAAGTTAAGGATTTTTTTGAATGCAATGGAAGCAGCACAATTCCTCAGTCCCACCCACAGAGCTATTCAGATGTGTCTGTGATGTCTGTTCTATCTGGGGAGTGGACCGAGGGTGCAGCCCACCAGAGAGCTGCGTTGTGGTGAGGTGAGGCAGAATATAAGGGGAGGAGCTGGTGCCAGGGTGCCACAAGATGAATTTCTGTTTCTGTGAGGACCTGGACAGGCCTGGCATGCCAAGGCACTGCCTGAGACAGCTCCCAGTGTTACAGAGCAAGGGGCATAGGAGAAGTGCATCACAAAACCAAACAGAACTAGTTGTTTGTAAGATCACCCATCCTTGGACAATTTAACTTAACACTACTAGTAAATAAAGGCTGTATTACTGTACACCTTTCCCAGACTTTGGATTGATACTCCAAAGGGCTTTCTATCAGAGATGCTTTGGTTAAACAGAAATTATTGAGAGATGCAGAGATACTAAAGTGAAATACAGCAACCAAGGTCCTATAAATGTCACACTGTGGCTTTCTATACTCTGACAGGTAGAGCTTCCATATCCTTACTCCACTGATGTTGCTTGGCTCAGCTATAATTTCTCAAGTTTGACACAAAAATAACTTCGCGGAATTACTCCTGAGTCTTGGAAATTGTTGCTACAAGGGCAAGCCCCATGCAGGATTTCTCCTGCATATCAGGGACTTTCTAAGCCAATGCCATCAAGGCCACAATTAATTTTTGTAATTGGTATCTCTCTTTCACAGTCTTTTACTTTCCAACTGAGTGCTCCCAGAGCTGCTCTTCCTGCCCGTAAATAGTCCTGAGTGACGCCCAGGCGGAGTTTGTGGTAGCAGTGGCAGCTTGTTGGCATTACTGTGAAATCCAATAAGCCTGTTTGATGTTCAGATGATTCTATGATTTCTCCTGGGCTCCCAACAATGGGAGCATTCACTCATCCAAGATTTCATTGTGCAAGCAGGGAGCAGTGCTGAGCAGCGCCTGCTGTTTCACTAAGATGATAAGTGAAAGCAGGCAAGGAATGTGAACAAGCCCTCTTTAATGCAAAGGTGGATGTCAAAAGTTTGAGGTGAGGAGGATACAGGGCTGGGGGGGAGGGAAACCCATTCTGAAACAGCCTGTCCTGCACAAGCTGGCAGTCTGAGAAGAGAAATGAATGACAGAGAGTGGGCACTGCTGGGGGACAGGGGGACTGCTGCCCCAGCCCGGCAGGAGGGGAGCAGGAGCCACACAGGGGTGCCCAGCTTCTCCTTTGGGAAATGCCTTGGTTAATTAGCCCTTTGCTGTGTCTAATGCGTCAGGAGGTATCCGGACAGAGGAGCACCAGCAGGGTGAAGACCTTGTTATTTCACAGAGCTTTGAGATAATTTCTTAACAAGTGGTTTCAACCTCTAATGGGTTTTTGCATTAGAAACTCATTCACAGTGAATTTCAGCCCACTAAATTCATTTTTTCTCCCCTCAAGAAACTCTTCAAAGCCAGTTTGCAAACTGCTTGAGGGACCACAGGGTGAAAACCACAAGATATGCTCAGGAAGAAGCTTCTCTTCAGTCACAATTGCACTTGCTGATGTGAATTCCTTGCACCAACAATCTTGAGTCTCATGAGAAATTGGCTTCTGAATGGTGCCATGCAAAAGATTCAGCCTTTTTTTCTCCAAAAATGTGACAAGAATCCACAAAATATTTAAGTTATTTGATCACAATTAAATAAATGATACTTGAATATCTTTAAAGATCTAAAATTATTTTTTCCCCCATATACAGAGGAAAAAAAGCTTGGAAATGCTTTTCCACTAAGGAGCTCCAAATACAACAGCAAGTAATTTTAAATTATGTATATTGGGAATGGTTTTTAAGGTTTTGCTTGAGTACCGATAATAAAGCAACTGTCAGTAATTTAACTCTGATTGAAATAGGAATCACACACTCAGAATTAGATCTGCCTTGAAAGATTATGCGTTTCAGACAACAGGGTTAGACTGACAGCTGGATTCAACTCAGAGTTGTTCTAGAGAAACATCTCTCAGTGTAACTGAGAGCACAACTGGCTCTTCAGCACTTGCTGCCTGGTGCAATTAAATGATACAGAACTGAAGGCATCGTCAACAGGAAGCCATCAATCACCACGAAGGAATTCAGAGCAGTGCAGTTGAAAGTGGAATCTGTCGCAGTGCTTATAAAGGACACTTTAATAATTTTGACAGCTTACTCCCTAGAAGTTAACCATGAAAAGGAAAGTATTCAAACTATAAAAATACTCTCCCTGCATCTCAGTTCTGAATATACTTATTTCATCACTTTTTCTGAATGAAAACCAGTACTAACTACTATGATTTTTCACTCAGCAGAGCACCTTGGCTACTGCTGTGCAGAGGGATTAGATCTAATCAATTATATTATCTTTTAAAGCGATATATTCAGTTCTTTGATTTAATGGGTTTTTGTTTGGTTTTTGTTTTTTTTTTTTTCCAGACAGAAACCCTCCTCCTGAGAGCAGAAAAGAGAGGCCTATGTGATTGCTTTCATGCAATACACTGAAATGAGCACTGGGATTTGACCAATGGACATATATTCATTTTTAAAATGCTGTTCAGTAAATTACAGGAAGATACAGAGTGCAAGTTGTGTCCCACATAAGGAAAAGCATTTTTATCAAAACAGGTATAGCTCGGATTATTTTTGCTTTGTTGTGGTTTGTCATAAGTCTATCTGATATTGCATCTGCTGAAATGCCAAGAGAAGAAACAGTGCCAAAGTCTTGCTTTTGGGTTTTATGGAAGGATAGCATCCTGCTTTTTGGTTATTTCATGCCAAAAATTGTCCTTGGACTCTCAGGCCAACCTCTTGGCTTATGTGAATTGCCATAGATCAGTGAAAGTCAGTGAAGTCAAATTTTTTTTATGTATTTATAGAAGAATAGCATGAAAAGGAAGCTACTTTGCCATGATGTATCGATAAACATTTACAAACAATCAGACTTGGCATTATATAGAAATTAATAGTTATCACTGACTGCTTGGCAGTCCGAGGAAGGGATTTGTTCTCCAATTGTATCAATAGTCCAGTGCATAGCAAACACAGTAATCTGTCTCACAATTTTGATTTCTTCAGAGCCACACAGTAGCTGTGATCTTTTTGGACAGATTTATTAGGTATCTAAAGTGATCAGTAACATTTGTAATCACATGAATACTGCCTGGCAGTTGAACTGACTGCATCTGCCAAAATCTTCTGGAGAAGTGTCTTTCATTAAGCAAATCACATGCTGGATTGAACCACTCAAAAGTGGCCTCTACATAGAGTTTTGGCAGAAAGCCTACATGATGCCTGCCTGCTCAGGAGTCTCTTGCAAACTGTATTTTGGGAAATAATTAAATTCTATCAAAATGGTTCTTAGCTCTTTCATGGACTCTGCACTCCATCAGGGTGGGTTACAGTGCTGATGTTATTTGTATTCCTGCTGCAGTGGGAGACAAGGGACAACAAAACAATTTAAACAGTTTAGTAGTAGTAGAAAATAAGATTGTGCCTTGTTACTCTTTAAAAGAGACTAGCAAATCCTTTCTCATTGTTTGAATTTTTTTCCTTTATTTTGGGAAGCAGAACAGAAAATGACCCCATCATTCTCAAAGTAGAGATCTATATATCAGCTTGAGCATCTATGTACAAGCTCGAAACTTTTATGCAAACAAGAATATTGGAGCAGGATCACCAAAAAAAGTAGTTTTCAAATTCATTTTACTAATTCTTTTCAGTATGTCTGTCTTTTCACAGGTGGCTGGCAGTTTTGATATTTTGCTCTCAGCCAGCTCTGTAAGTTTGAATGGAAGCTATCTGAATGTTTCCAAACTGCTTCTCTCCCATTTGTCTGCAACATCAAACACAGGGAAATAGGGAACTTTGACCCACTGCCAACTTACTATTTCATGTGCAATCATACTCAGTAACACAAAGGAGCATGTTGCCATGTATTTCACCAAAGTGGTTTGAAAGGTGTGTGGTTCTCAGCAAGGAAAACCTCTCTTGCACCTGCATTTCAAATAAGAAATCCCCTTTGTCCTTTTAGTATCCCAGCAAACCCCTTTAGAGGTCCTTGGGACCTGTTTTGTGTACAAGAGAAGCATCATGACACAGCAACAGCTCCCTTCTGGTAGCATCACACTGCACTGTGGCACCGGGCAACTGAGCAGCAGAGGTTTTCCTCATGGACCAAGTTTTATTGTACAAAGAAAGCAGTAGGATTAACACAGCTTCCTTGCAAAATACCAGCCTTTGGCTTCTTTACTCCCACTTATATTTGGGCCAAAGTAATGCACAGCTTTTGAGACAGCTTTTTGCAGGAGATGGAGTCCCAGCACTGAACCTGTGAATTTTCAGGTTCAGCTCAGCTCCCCTTTCAGGGGGCAGCACATCTATGGTTTGGTATTGATATTGTGCATGCTTATTCTGCTGGTACCCTAAAGAGTCTTGCAAAGTCCTGTTACAAAAACTGGTTTTTTTTGTTCATGTTTTCATTTAGAAATATGGTTGCTCACAGATGAGTTTTGATATATGCAGCTTGTAACAATATAAAGGTGGAATTAAGTGGATGTTGTCTGACTCCCAAAGGGATCAGAGTGACACTGCAACTTTATGGTTGTACCAGACTGATTATTCTGTACTTCTCTTTGTCTATAATACAGCACAATAAAAGGGCAAGATGCATTATAGTATTTGGTGTGCATTGTTTCTGATTTGACTAATAGATGGCGATTATGCATTAATTAATGTCTGTTCTTTAATTAGATGGAAAATACACAGAAAAAAAATTATATTTTTAATACAAAAATAAGAAGACCTTGTCTTTGGGCTAAATGTATTAATATATTCTTATTCTGAAGTATAAAATCCAACTCACTCTTATTTGAAATAAAGGTACAGCAATGATTTTGTGAATTTCTTTAAGGACTGCTTATTCTATACATGGTGGTTTTGATAAAGTTCCTTATAATTGCAGGATGGAATGAAGAAAAATTTGAGCTAGATAGTTTTAATTTATTTTTGCTCAGGAAGTTAATTTAAATTCAGAACCCCTTGAGTCTCCACTTACTAGAAGAAAACATGTATTTTGCAAAAGGATTTAATTGCAAGAGTGCTTAAAGCAGAAAGTTTTTTATCCCACCCAATGTTTTTTTTTGCTGCAGAGTTCTCGTGACCTTTTGAAGCCAAGCTGTGTCTTCTTTTTTCTTCTCTTGGTGCAGTGCTGCTGCTGATAGCCCTGGGCACGTGGTGTTTGTACACAGGGTGGAATGCAGCTGGTAGCCTGGGAAAGTCACATCCAAGTCCTCCCTGGAAGAGAAATGGCATAATACTGTTAGTGTGGTGCTGTCTCTGGGCAGGCAAGGTGACAGAAATCCTGGTAATGATCCCCACATCTCCAGACCTTCTCATACCTGAGCCAGTGTCTTCTTTGGGTGTAATTTTGTGTGTATTCTAAGTCAGTAGTTTTGAACTGAGTCACAGAACAACTCTAGGAAGACATGTCTGGATTACATTCTGGAAATGGAAACACAGTTTACCTTGCTTGTAATGTAGAATCCTGTTAGGTAACATCAAAGCTCAGTAGTATTATTGCTAGCTGAATCTAGCTGATGAATGGACTCTCTGGAATACTCTGAAAATCCTGTGGAATACCCTCTTCTGATGGAAACCTCATATTTAGAAACCAGTTATGCCTCTGTACCCAGAACTGTCTGTCAGTAAATCCTGGGTGATCTGAGCATCCGACATACATTCCCCAGTTTCAAATAAATAAAGTGTGGAAGTAGTTCCTTTGAGAGTGACCATGTAGTTTCTGTGCCCTCCTCTGATCTGCCCCAGGCTGGAACCCAAAGACAAGAGCTCCTCCTGTAGCAGTGGGACTCATGCTTTGCACACAGATCTCACCCCAATGAGTCAAAGCACTTGCTGAGCTGAAGGAAGCTAACAGGAATCCCAGCTCAGCTCAAAGTTTAGTTCAAAGGTGATTTAAAAGCAGAAAGGCTCTGAGGATGTTGAGGTTTTTCTGAGGCAAAGAAGAATAAAGGATGTTTTCCCTTTGGAACTGCTCGAGGGGCAATTTGCCCTGGTCCTCTTGGCCTGCAGATGGAGACCCACTTACCTAGAGCAATGTTCTGCTCAGTCCTTCCCTGGCCAGGACTCAGTGCATGAGAGAACAGGGGAGCAAGTGTGGAGGGGAAAACACACCTGCCCTTTGCAGCCTGGCTGAGTTCCTGGCAAATCAGGGCTCCTGACAGAGAAACCAGAGCTGCAGCCTCCCAGGGATTTACCTGCTGAGCATGGTAAGCAGGGGCTGCAACCCCTCTGGCTGAGGGCAGTGCTGCAGACAAAGTGTCACAGCAGCATCAGAGCCAGGATCTGAAAAGGGGAGCCCAGAGGTGTTGTCTGCATTGGTGCTAAAGAAGGGATCATTCCTCACACTCTCATCAAGTACATGTGAATTTTCCAAACTTTCCAGAACCTGCTTTTGAGAGCTCTGCAATGAAATGCAGATTGAAGAGGTGGTTGCAAATAACCCCTGTGCTCCTCAGCTGAAGCTGTGCAGAAGATGGGAAATCTCAGGGATGCTCTGTGCTCTACTTGTTCCCAAAGAAGATATGGAAGAGACGGAAGCATCTTTTGCTAACTGGTACTTGCTGATTTAAAGATTAAGGGGAAAATAATTTGCATGTGCTTTTACCATCTAAGGAGAAAGGCAACACTCACTTAAAGAGTGTTCATTGCAGCAAACATTAAACAGAGGTGGAAAACTAATATAAATTGCAAATATATAATACATTTAAATATTTAGCCTCATTTTTGCCGTATTAAACATTTTGGATAAATAATTCTTGGCTGCAGTGGATGAAGCAGATGGGTCTGCTAAACTTCTGAAAAGTCACCATGATTTTCCAATGTCTGATTCTGTTTCTGCCTTGAACTGGCCTTGGGGTTCTGTTCAGAACATGCACCTCCACATAGGCAGAGGACGGAATTCATTTTACCCCATACGCTCATGATCATTTGTTGATTGCTGAAGAAGGATCCCACAACAGAGGGGCTTTTGGTCCAATGTGTACAAGCTTCTGTGCTTTCTATGTATGTGGCTAGAAACAAGTTGAAATTATTAACTTGCTGAATTCCGGAGGGGAGGAATGAAAAACACCAGGAGGCTCTTAAAAATCACTTAATAATTCTCATGGTTCTTGAGGAGACTGAAGCACATGGTGGGCTTTGCAGGAGTCCACTTGCCTCAAACCTGTGTCATTCCCTCCATCCCTGAGCTGGGTGGCAAAGGGGAGACAACTGGATCCTTGAATCATGTCAATGCCGCTGGCCATTGAGCTCAAAGATGTTGGAGAGGAAAAGCAAAAGGCCCAGTGGCAGCACAGAGCAGCCACCCATACACTGAGGAACCCCAGATATCTGCCTGCCCTGTCTGTGTCCCTAACAGATATAAAAGAATTAACATTGATGTGTTCATAAATGTCTGTTATTAAATCTCCAGGTCACTGCATCCATCATTATCTTTCCCATGCTCCTTTCAGAGAAGTCTCCATTGTTCAGCCTGGCTTGTCTCAATGCATTCTTTGGACTCCATATCATGGTTCTGTTCATGCTGAAATCATCAGAGCTGTTTTCTCAACACTGTGGCCCAAAGTCTACCCTTACATGCCCACATGGGAATCTCCATGATCTCCCTGAAAACCACATGGGGTGACCCAGGCCTATTTCACAGAACACAGTGTTTTGTTTCCTCTCTGTGTGTAAAACAGCTGCCTTTTGGATCGCCTGCTGTTCCCTTACAGTGCTGTGAAAGGTTTTCCTAGACAGAGCAAAGCTCCTGCTCCCCATCCCTAGAAATACAGAACAGGGGGCTGAGGGCGAAAGGAATTTAATAGTTATTATAAATTGTGTTTCTCAAGCTAAACACGAGGTCAAGGTTAAATATTACCCATAGTTCAAGTACTAGCCATGTGAAATATCAAACAGAAGCCCAGCCTTTTTATAGTGGTGCAGAAGGTACTTCATCACTTGAAAGCATTAAGATACTAAAGATAGATGGTGCCTGCAGCACGGATTCCTGAATATATCTGGTTTTTTTCTAACTGTTGGTACACCAACCTGCTTTTACCGGTTTGTACATTATAGATGGGGACAGAATGACACATCTCAAGGGGACAGATTCTCTTTACATCAGATTTCATTCCATATAAATAAATTAAAAAGGAGAGGTAAAACTATGGATCTACAATTTTTTTTTTTCCTCACAGAAAGTCAATAATGATAACAAGTCCATCTTCCCTGATGTTTAACTCCTTTTCTTTTTAATTGCTTAAGAAAGTGTGCCTGTACCTCAGTACTCAAGGTGTATGTGGGAGGTGAAGGTATAGCAGACTGTAAAGCATGTCAAGCTCCTCAGTAGCAGTTTGGCACAAGCCTGAAGAGGAATTTGGAAGCCAGGAATTTTTGAGCTGTGATATAGCTTTGCCACTTGAGTGCTTTCAGGTACTGCCCATGTTTCTTTTGTCATCTCTGGCCTCCAGATTCATCAAAGGAGAAATATTCTTTCCCTAAGAAGAATGCAAACCACCATGCCTCAATTGCAGAGGTATTAAAGACAAACCTTATTATGTATGAAAATAGCAAATTCTTCAAGTTACAATTGTTTTAAGGTGAAATCAGTAGACATCATAACTCTGTCTGATTTCTGGCATTAAAAATGAAAAAAAAATTGTCTAACTATTGGCTGTTTAGCTAACACTTGGGTAATATATGCAGGCAATAAAAAGATAAGTGTTAGACATTTAAGCCATTTATCAAATCACTGATTTTCCTATTAATGAAAATTAATGAAAAGCTTTCAAACTCTGTTGCACATTTCTAATGCCTCTTCCTGAGCTGTGCTTTTTATATTTCCTTCCCCCAAACAATCACATCAGTAAGTCTCAATACCAAGATGTGCAAGAGAAAGGAAATAACAAGGTTATTTTGTGAGCATTCATGAAGGAGGACAATGGAGAAGGTTATAAATTTCTGTTCAGACACTCGAGGTAAGATGTGATGTGCAAGGCCCATCATAACGTGACCTCCTCTCCCTAAATAGATGGCTTATATTGCCTGCAAAATAAAAGTATTCAATAATGCATTGAAAAATTGTGAATATTCAATTATTCTGAAGAATGGATTGTAAGGATACTTCATTGTTGTGCCAAAAAAATCCACGCAACAAAAGCCAAGGAGAAGTGGTAAAATTTTAAACCTTCTTCATTGCAAATAATCAACTATTTCCCATACATACAGTTATATAACAGAAGCAAACAACTTCATTGTGATGTAGTTTGAGTTGGATCTGGATGTAACTGAATTAATTTGATTTAATAAGTGTTGTGTGCTTACCACACAACAGTGCTGGACCTTGGTCAGTTCTCTAACTGCAAGTGCAAAAGATGCAACACTTGAGGGGAAAAAAAACCCCAAAATAAAATAACAGTAAAAGTTTGAGAAGATAAATATGATAAACTTGGGAAAATGTATTTAACCACTTTCCATTTGACATGAAGTCTGATTTACACCATGTTAAAACTTCAAATGCACATGGCATGTGAGCAAGTTTTTTGTATTGTCTCCTCAGGATCAATGCTGTGAGCAGAAAGAAGCTTTGGACTAAGTTTATTGGAGAAGCTTTCCT